GAAGTGGAAACCGCAGATGGGGCGATGGGGAGGAGTGGGGAGCTGAGCAGGGGCTTGGCAGGTGTACCTCGGAGGTGAGGCTTCCAGTGGAGAAGGCTGGGGACCAGCTGGCGATGCCCTGCCAGGGAAGAGAAGCCCACACCTGTGCTCCCCGGGAGTGGCCTCGGAGCCTTGGAGCCACGCCCATGTGGCCCCCGGTGGGGTCATCCTGCCAGAGCCTCCTCCTGGCCTGGTCCTGGGGCTCTCTCTCAGACTCCTGGAGGATGCAATGTCGTTGTGGGGCCTGAAGAACTGTGCGTGGCTCCAGCTGGGCATTCAGATCAGTGGGCACAGACATGAGCCTTTGGTGTGGATCTTACTACCACGTAGTGAGGAGGAGGCCACATGCGGTGGCAGCCAGGGGCCGCCACACCAGGATGAGCTGACAGCCCTGGGAAAAACTCTGAACCTTCCCGAGCCTCAGTCTCCTCAACCCTGAGAGGGGGCTGATGCCGGTGCCTCGTGGGGCTGCGGTGAGCATGAATGAGTCAGAGCCCGTGATGTGCTCAGAGCAGTGCCTGGCACACAGTGAAGCACTCAGGAATGGAAGCTGTCAGTATTAATGTCGCTGTTGTCATATTGTCATCATGGCTGGAGGCTGCGGTGTTGGAAATTCATCCCCTATGTCTGTGATCACTCTCCAAATCCTGGATCCAAACCCTTTCCTCTCTTCTCATCCAGCAAACTCCTACACATCCTTCAATGGCCAGCTCAATTGTCCCTGCTTGTCCTACTTTCCCCAATAAACCCTGGCAGAGCTAGTGGCTTTTTCCTCTGTGTCCACACGTTCTCTGGAGCAATGTGATGGAGTCCTGCATGAAGCGCAGGTTACGAGCTTAGGCAGCACATGGGACAAAACTCCAGTATGGTCAACATTACTCTCGAGCATCCGTTAGGAAAGTTCGCTGGGACACCCTGAGAAGTGAAAAGAAGCAAGGAGCCTAAGAGTGTGGACAGAACGTCATTTATGTATAAGAAGGGTGGGGGGCAGGTAAGAGGTATTCACACTTGCTGGGGTTTATATCAGAGAAGCAATAGTAGGCGTGGGTGGTGGTGGGACAGGATTTTAATGATATGAATTTATGTTGTTGGGGTTTTGAACCATGTTAAAGTATTTACCACTTGGAAGGAAGGAAGGGAGGGAGGGAGGGAGGGAAGGAAAAGAATGCTCCCTTAGGAAGGCGCCCGTATTTGAGTCAGTCCTGCCCGGATGTTTCCCTGAAGCGTTGGAGCAAGCAGACGAAGGGGTGTGCTTACGTTTCAGGCCTGCCGTGTATGAAAAATGAATTTTTAATAACTAAAATTCCACCCAGTGTGGCAAGATTCCCACAGGGTGAACAGTTCCCAGGATCTGAGGGAACAGAGGGTCCCCACGGTGCCTCTGTCCTGCCGGGAGTTTGTTCGCTGAGGGGAGCAGTGGCCCAGCTGCTCTTTTTCTTTCTGTTTTGCTGCCGAGCAGGTCTGCTTCAGTTCAGGGGGGTGAAACGTGCCCACGACGCCCCTCACTGTGCAGTGCGGTGGTTTCACATTGGGGCTTTGGAGTTAGGTGCTACATGCCAAGCTGTGTGGCTTCTGGCTGGTCCCTTAACCTCTCTGGGCCTAAGCTTCCTTATTTGTAAATTAGGGAAGATAATACCTTCTCAGAGTGTCCTCATGAAGGTGATATGAAATAGCACCTGCCTGCCATCACCACCACCACCACCGCATGGTGATGGACTGTCCCTGTCTGTCTCTTCCAGAGACTGTAAACTTGCAAGGACGAGGACCAGGTTTCATTCCTCTCTGTGCCCCCAGGGCCCAGCACAGAGCCTGGCTCCATATGGGTGTCCAGGCAGAGCATGATTCTATTAATAAATACCTCCCCGAGCCCAGCGTCCCAGAGTGCAGTGGGTGCCTGTGCTGTTGGTGGACAGACAGGCTGATGACTCCAGATCCCAGAGCTAGGCTCGGGCTCTGGCTGTGCCCTGCAGTGTGGCTCTGGTGACACAGGGACAGGAATGGGTTTCCACTGGAAGAGCCGTGGTTAATGCTCAGACTCTGAAGCTAGATGGCCATATTTAAATCCCAGTGCTGTCACTGTTTACCTGTGTGGCCTTGGGTATTTTACATAACCTCTCTGGGCCTCAATTTGCTCATGAAATAGGGTTGGTGTGAGAATTGACTGTCCTCAACCTCACTTCTCAACAAGCTGGACCTCCCTTTCCCTGGAGAGCCGGGCAGCTTCTTGCTCTGTCTTTGCTCTGGCCATTCCGTCGGCTCGGAATGCCCTTCCCTCTCCACTTCGTGGCTAACTCCTACTCAGCCTTTATGACGCGGATCAGGCGTCCCCTCCCCAGGAAGACAGGAATTCCCTGGGCATCGTTGTCTCGCTGCACTTGCAGAGCCATCGAAGCCACCGAGCCTCCCTTCTTGGCTATGCCCCTCCCCCACGCCGATGCTTCGGAAATCGGGACTCGGCTGCCAAGTCCATTAACTTCTTTGTGTTTCCTCTCCCGGATCCTTGCGATGCGTTACAACTCAAGGTCTCCAGACTTCCCTGCCAAGCTGGGGCCCAGCCCAGAGCCTGGATGTCATTCATCTTGGCCTTGCCAGTCCCAGCACGGGCCTGGCACACGTCAGCTCAAGCAGGGACAGGTCTGAGTCCCAGGGAGGCTTAGAGGGAGGAAGGGCCTCTGTGTGAACCGCCCCCGCCATCCTCCCCAGGCCTTGAGGCCATAGTCACCCGTTCTGGGCATGTGACACAGAGCCTCCAGGCTGCCCAGGAATGGGAGGGGCAAGGCAGAAGTGTCTCAGAGTTTCCCAGTTTCTCCTAGACTGTGCGGGGTGGGGGTACGGAGGAGGCAGCCCTGGTGAGGGAGGACTCAGAAGGTGCCACCGTCTCTGTCTGAGTGGGGTTGCAGTGGGGGAGGGCTGAATGCCACTCCAGTACTAACTCTTGGTGACCTTGGGCCAGTCCTTTCCCACCCCAGGCCTCCGTGACCTTATCTGTAAAATGAGAGTGGGACAGGATGTCCTCCGTGTCCCCTCACCCAGCACCAATGCACAAGACCTCCCGGAATTGCTGTCTTCACACCTTTCTCCTTTTAAGGAGCTCTCTCACCTGCAGTGACTCACCGACCAAGGAGAAGGGGCCTATGTTGCCAAGCCTCTAGCCCTCACCACCACCTATGAGCTGTTTACTGCTGCCGTGCACATTCTACAGACAGACTTGCAGCTAACAGGCTCAGAGAAGTTGAGTGGCTTGTCCGAGGCCACACAGCCAGGAGCCGGAAGTTGAACCCAGGCTGTCCAGTTAGAAAGGCTTTCACAACCCCACCTGGAGTCCGACCCCACCCCCAGCAGTGGCTCCTCCCGTAGGAATCCCCCGCCAGCCCTGGTAGGATTCTGAGGGCCCGAGGTGGGGGGGCAGCGCAGTAGCAACCACATCCTGTGACGGTTGCCCAGGGGAGCGCCTGCTTTCCCTCCACCTCTGGGACAGGTGAACGGGCCCGCCCAGCCCCACAGCGTGGGAGTAGGGGAGGCAGCTACAGCCCTGCCTCCTCCCCCACCCCCTCCCGGGAGGGAACCTGAGCCCCAGCCCTCACCCCGCAGCAGCAGAGTGGGCACCCGGTCATTGCAGCTGAAATCACAGCCTCCGAGTGGGCGAGCACTGGAGAAAACCCGCAGATTCCTCTGCGTCGTCTCTACCAGCTTCCTCCCCGCTCCCTGGCGGGCACAACCCCCTCGCCAGGCAGCTCTGAGCTAAAACTCCCCGAATTATCCTGCCTCGGAAGCTTTGGGGGCTGGGGTGGGAACCCCTTTGGCACAGCGAGCCCTGCCGCGAGCTGGGCTGGCGCGGAGCAGAGCAGGGAGGCAGCGGCTGCGCATTCCCACAGGCTCTGCCCGAGTCGTCTCCTCCAGGACCAGGACAGGCCCTGCCTTCTTGTCCCAGTGTCCCCAGCCACGGTAGGTTTCCCCGTTCGCCCTGACATTTCCACCTCAACGGACAGAGCTGCCGCCACCAACGCCCACCCAGCGCAGACACACACACGGCACACGCGTGCAGCCGGGGTTCTACGAAGTTTAAGAACTTACAACTCCACATCCAAGTTTCATTGAGCAATTCAGTTTAATCTTGGAACACTGAGCACAGCACACAGGGCCTGGACACGCTGGCGGCTCTGGGCGCAACGCTGCACGCCCTCGCCTTCATCCCGGGAGCGTCCTCCTCCGTTCCACGAGGTGCGTGAGGACTCAGCGCTTAGCGCATCCGCTGGGCCCCCTCCCTGCAGACATCTCTGCGCTCCTGCCCCTGCGAGGACTGGGCCTCCATCTCTGGGGTCTGCGGGAGGGCTGGGCTGGGCCCCTCTTTGTGATCCGTAGGAAACTCAGAATAAAGGCCCGCTGTCCGGGGATGGTCACTGCAGAACAGGGTGTGCCCCTGGGGGGCTCCAAGGGTCTCCGAGGGGACTGGCCTCAGCCCCCAGCCCCTTGGTGGGGGGCACAGGCTCATCCTGTTTGCTGCCAGCTGCCCCACCCCCAGCACCTCCCGTCAGAGTGACAGCAGCCCCGCAGCCCCTAGTACAGGGGGCTCCTGTGGCAACACCAGGGTGGGGGCCATTTCTGCGCCTCCCAACACCTCTGGTCCTGAGCTGTCAGAGGCTTGGGGAATCAAAGCACCGGAAGCCCGAGGGTCAGAAGTGGCCTCAAGAGTCCAGTCCAGCGCCCCCCACTCCCGGCAGACTCTGCTTGTCCATCCCAGAGACAGAGGGCTCGCCCCTCTTGGAGGCGGCACCCTCCATCCTGGGGTGCTCGTCGGGCCGAGAGGGCCGTGCCAGCAAGCTCGGTTTGACGGAGGGAGACCGAGGGGCGCAGGGTGTGGAGTTTCTTCCATCCCTCCCGGGGAGGCCTCTCAGCCCCATGGGGGTGATCTGGGAAGGGGGGGTGGGCCAGCAGGTAGAGCAGGGGGCCGGAGTGGCGGCAGCCACCTGAGGGGCCTCAGCTGGACCCGGTCTAGGCTGCTCCGATGTCATCGTAGTCCTCGTTATCAGCGGAGTGAGGCTGGGGACTGGGGGACCCTGTGGGCCGGGAGGCTCAGGTCAGTGGGAGGCCCAGTCGCTGCCCCTGGTGCAGCACAGAGCTGAGCGAGCGTGGGCCACACCCTCCCCTGCGGCGCTGTGTGCAGCCAGCCCAGCATCTCGTCCACGGCCATCTCCCGGGCTAGGGCTAGCACGTCAGCCCTGAGAGCAGAGCCTTGTCTGTCTTGCTCAGCGCTGCAGTCCCCAGTGCACAAAGTGACGGACAGCTGAATGTCGGGAGCCCCTCTGCTACCACAGTCTCTCCCAAGGAGCCAACTGGCTGCTTTTACTTGAATGCCTCCACTAATGGGGAGGTCACTTCTTATCGAAGCAACCTCTTTGCATATTTCTTTATCCCATCCACATCCATTTTCCCCACTTCTTAATATTCTTGTTTTGATTTTTAAAGGAAGAATCGCTTTCCCTCTCTTCTTTTCCCTTTCCTTTCTCCTTTTCCCCCTTGGGCTGATGCATCCAACAGATGCCCCACTCATCCACTCCCCACTCCGTCTGCCCACCCTCCCACGATCCCCTCCCCAGCTACTGGCACCTGGACACCCAAACTGCTCCACTGAAGGGGGCTGGGGTGGCGGCGGCTGGAAGTTCTGGTACCACTCTCCGGACGAAGTGCTGGAGCTGTCATCAGCCGAGGGCCCTGCTGGAAACCCCCAGAGCCAGTCAACCTCTGCCAGGAGCCAGCTGCTTTGCCAGCTGTCGGAGCTGGGAGGCCCGCACCACTCAGGAGAGCCAAGTCCTTAGCTTGACAAATGAGGACATGAAGGCCCTGAGAGGGGAGGAGATTTGCCCAAGGTCACACAGCAAGTGGCTGTGGAGCTGGGATGAGAATCCTGACCTCAGCCCGGCTCAGGGCTCCCAGCCTCGTGCTTCCTCCAGCCAGGCTGGCTACAGCATGGGGGCTTGGGGGATGCACAGATTACCTGAAAAAGTTGTCTGGGAGCCGGCTAGCTCCAAGTTCGGGGGCTGCTCCAGGAAGGAACTCCTCTCTGAAGAGAACACCTGGGGGTCCCATGAAGGCGCCTTGTTGCTGGTGTGATTGCAGTAATCCTCCCCGGAAGATGTGCTGGACTCACTGTTACTCTTTGGGTGACACTGAGGGTGCAGGGAGCGGGGGTCTGTGACGCAGTGCCCAGAGTTGGCAGCTGGGACATGGGAGATGTGCAACTCTTCAAGTCCTGGGCCAGGAAAGGGAAAATGGTGAGGAAAGAAGCAGCAATGCAGCAAGAGGGCTTTAAATCAGACTTGAGGAAGAACTTACTGCCTATAGGAATCGTTAAAGTCAGGAAGGACCGATTGAGGGAGGCTGCTGCTGGTAGGTCTCCAAGTGAGCTGAGCTACTGTCTGGAGGCAGGGCTGTCATCCTAATCACGCCCCTCCTGTCCCTCCCTGGCCAGACTCACCTTCCTCCAAGGGAGGCATCTGGAACCTGCTCTGCTGGGCCTCCTCATCTGTGACCCGGTGCCGCTGGGAATCTGCAGGCAGAGGTGGCAGTGGGGAGGGGTGAAGGCTCAGGCTCTTTGTCCCAGGAGTCTGGAGGAAGGCTGGTGTCCCTCGGGGCTGGGGAAGGGGCCCCTGAGGCTGAACAGGGTGGGGGGACAACCCCAGAGGTAGAGCAGGGCTCAGCTTTCCCTTTTCTCAGCTCACGTCCTAATCCAAGCAGACCCCTGACCTCAATCTAGGGAAGACTCGTGTTTACCCTGAAACCAGCCTGGGGCCAGAAACTCTAGTGCCCCGGGAACCCCCAGCCCCAGTGCCAGCGCCAGCGCCAGCGCCAGCGCCAGCGCCAGCGGCCCTCCTGCTCCTTAAGGACATGCCAAGAGTCTGGGCTGTCTCCTCGTGCCCTGGCAGCTCTGGGCAGGAAAAGGGCAGAGGTTTGCCCCTTCGAGGAGCCTTCCCAGAGCGGAAGCTGGATGGTCTGGAATCGTGTGTCACCACCTCTGCGGCACCTTCGAGTTTCAGAATCAGAGAGACAGAGACTTACAGAGTCTTAAGAATTTGAGTGTCTGGGATCTTGGAGTCAGCTCTTTTGAACCTTGTACCACTGACTTTTAGTCTCAATGTTGGAGGATTTTGGACTCTCAGTTTTGCATCTTAAATGCCTGGCCTCAGAATCTCAGGGAACCATCCTTGTGGCAACCAAACACAGGCCCATGGACCAGCAGAAGGGGGCTCACTCTGTCCTACCCGCTGCCCCCTTGCCCTGAGACAGCAGGCAGGGCAGGGGCGGCCAGCTGTTGCCAA